AGTTGGTAACTAAGGGTTGAGAGATGGTAAAATATGGATATGGGAGGTATTTTATGGATATGTACTGATTGGTTGATTGTTAAATGGTGCTAGCGTTAAATGGTGCTAACTTCACACCGATTTTCCTTGCCGCCGGAATGATCGACCTGGGTGGCAGTGGAGATCGACAAATTGACATCGACACTCTACACAATGAATGATAACGAGCTGCAACAATATTTGACTTTGATTAAAAATAAGAGTGAAATGATGAAGGAATTCGTTTACCTTTCCACATTGGACCAAGACATTTGGCAAAATTCAAAAATATCAATCAATCATCTGACTTGTTCTTCTTCATTTCGCTTCACATTGGTTTCTGTATGCGGATGAAGATTTCTTTCCTTAAATCATGATATATTTTGTTCTTTACTTCTTATGTCAGATCATTTATTTTCTTTTTTCTTATACTATGATTCACTTTGCTCATTGTTCTCATATGACGATGGAAGCTGTCATCCACATTTAAATAAAGTCTTATCAGGTTCTTAAAGCTAATTATTTCATCAAAATCTTTTTGTTCTCGTACAAATATTTATTTTCTATTACTTCATCATTCCAATTCGATATCTCTCATATGAAATCGATTAGTATCTGCGAGAAAAATTGTCAATGAAACTCATTTTTAAAACAGAAGCATTTTCAATAAATCATCTACATCTGTAATTTCCTAATTGTAAACAGAGATCAAAACAATCTGCATGCTGCCGGTTAGGATCTTGTTCTTTGTTTGTTGAACGACCAAATAATAGCATTATTTCATTCACACAAGACTGATATTTCGGGAAATTGTTTGTTTCTTTTAAACGAGAGTGTCAATTTCAATTGATAATTTTGATCGGTCAAATGGACAGTAGTGTCAAACTCAACAGTTAAATGCAGTAATTCTACACCCTCATCCTTTTTAATATCAAATCATGTGGTTCGTATCTCAATCTTATTCGTTTGAGGCCAGGGCAGTTCCAATGAGACTGGACGTTTCAATCCAAAGATGTTCCTACATAGAGATGAAATCTCTATCATTTCGATAACTCTGCCCTTTTGTGTTGCGTCCTCTTAGTTTCATGAGAACACTTCTTAATAAACCTTTCTAGTGCTATGAGCAAGTCGCCGATGCAACATCATTATGAGAGCATAGTGACATAAAAGCTGTTCTCTTCTGCGAAGAAAAGAAAATCTCTTCACATGAATTGAATACGACTTGAACTAACTAAATATAACTATTGTTATATCTATAGAAAATGACTCAAGACCTATGATTTTCAAATACGACTGCTCTAGTTATTATTAGAAATACACATACACCTCCTTTTTCTTNCTATGAGCAAGTCGCCGATGCAACATCATTATGAGAGCATAGTGACATAAAAGCTGTTCTCTTCTGCGAAGAAAAGAAAATCTCTTCACATGAATTGAATACGACTTGAACTAACTAAATATAACTATTGTTATATCTATAGAAAATGACTCAAGACCTATGATTTTCAAATACGACTGCTCTAGTTATTATTAGAAATACACATACACCTCCTTTTTCTTTGTCTGTATACACAATATATTAATAAAGAATATTTTAATCAACATACACTTTTTTTAATCTTTATATTAGACATTTGAAAAGGATCGATTAGATGTTACACATAATGCCTTCTATTCAGAAAAAAAACACAAATGAAACGAATCTTTCTTGATAGTAATAGTACACTTATTAAAGATGCATAATGAAGATAAGAAGAATATTAATACCCTTGCTGGCCAAAGATTTATTTCAAGAATTAAGAAATAATATAATGAAAAACAAATAAATGAAGCACATACTTATATTATTTGATAGAGAAGTCTATAGATAAATCAGTTTTCGATAACTTTATAATAGACTAGTTCTGGATCATTATCATCATCTAAATTATGAATAATGCCAGTTAATCGATATTGTAATTTTGTTAATAATGTTTGCATTGCTAAATTTGATAAATTTGTTGATGTGAATAATTTCTTCGTTGTACATCGGATTGGTTCTTCTAAATATTTCATTAATGTTAGACCAACTCTTTGTCGACGATACGATGGATGAATACGAAGCATCGCAATAAAAGCTTGAGCATAAAATGTATAATTCAGAACAGCATAACCGACAATAAGAGAATTGTTAAGAAGGGCAACATGACAATGTGACGATGAAATAGATTGCTCAAGAAAAGAACGAATAAATACCCGGTTATCAATAGATGAACAAATTATATCTATGTCATTAACGTTGGCTATGCGACATGATATCATATTATTATTAATCTCGGCAATTTCTGACATGATTTCATATATTTCACCCTTCAATACATTGCTTTATGACTGTTTTATGTGAGTTGATAAGAGATAAAGAAAGAATATGATATAATGAAATTTCTTAAATATACACACTGAGTCAATAATTACACTATGACAAAAGGATAACAAAGTGAAAACATATATGTTCAGTCAACAAATATCTTTTAGAAATTATCAAATGTTGAGGAAGAGGATATAAGGGATGTGCTCGATGAAGAATTGAATTTTCGATCCGGTTAATACTATTCTAGAGGAGAACTATCGAGAGAAAATAATCGTTATATTCACCGCTACCTTCGAAGACCTCTTTCAAAAATAAAATCATGGAATAAAGAATTTAATTCGAAATTCAACACAACAATTTTTAGAATTATTCAAAATTCTCCTGAAAACAAGGATGAGACAAGAATTACAAAAACCTTGCCTGATTGGGCAGGATGATACCTACAAAACATTTGTAAATAGCTAAACAACAATAAAACGGATACTCAGGCCAACAAATTCAATAACTGATTTGATAAGAGCTGACGTCCCTAAATTAAAATAAAATTCCAATGATCAATTATATAAATCGATTATCAATCGATTGAGTTTATTGAAACAACAAGAACATGTTTATTTAATAGAAATCGAAATAATTTTAATTTCATCTAATGGTTTGTCTTGTTTATCTGTCTTTGTTTGAGAAATTTTCTCGACAACATCCATTCCTTTGGAAACTCTTCCGAAAATTGTATGTTTCTTGTCTAACCATGGACAAGGAACAATGGTGATGAAAAATTGACTTCCATTTGTGTTTGGTCCTGCATTTGCCATTGACAATGTATAAGGACGATCATGTTTCAATTGTGGATGAAATTCATCTTCGAAATCTTTACCCCAAATTGATTGACCACCGGTTCCATTTCCCAAGGGATCACCTTGAAAATCAATGAAATTTTTGATGATTATTACAGAAAACGAAAAGAGATGAAAGCAAACCTGTTTGAATCATGAATTGTTTAATAACACGATGAAAGATACAATTATTATAGTAGGATTGTTTGGAATGTTGAATAAAATTTTCACAAGTTTTCGGAACGAATTCCGGAAAGAGACGAACATGAATATCACCATATGTTGTATGAATAATTGCTGATTGAGATAATGATGATAAAGCTTGTTCTTCTGTTGCTGTTAAGATTTCTTCACGTGATGGTTTTTCATTATAAACATCACGATCATTATCATGTTCACTTCGACTATCTATGGGAAAAAAAGAAAACAACAAGTAATGTTTAATTGATTGAGAAAAGAAAAATACTGACCTTGTGGATTATTTCTTGTAAAAAGATAAAATCGATTCTTTTTGTAAGCAGTTGAGAAAAGAATTGTTGGATTAAAATCTTGATCCGATGTTTGACGTGTTTGATAAAGTGCTAAACGAATAAATCGTGCATTTTCAGTTGTACCAAAGAAATGTCGAATTGAATTTGTTCGTAAATTTAACATTTTAATTCCATATAAAGTTGAATAGAAAAGAAATGTTCCTGATGAATCAAATTGTAGATTAATTAAAGAATAAATCGAATCATGTTTTTCTAAATCTTTCTCAATTGTTAAACGTCGTGAATATTCCACATTATTTAAAAGAATTAATTTCGATTTTTTATCTTCATTCTCTTGTTGTTTGATTAGTAAACGTTCATGTAATTGTTTATAAACATCTAAATGTTCATCGAAGATTTTTAATTTCTTTCCTGTTAATGTATCAAATAGATATAATTTGCGTTGTGTTGTTGATTTTCCAATCAAAGCAAATTGATCACCGGATGAATTGAATTCTAATGCCACTGGTATTAATTTATTTTTAACTAATTCAAATAAATCTGTATCTAATTTGGACTTGAATGAAACTTCTGATGGAAGATTTTGTAAATCATTTGGTGACCAATAATTAATGATTGATGATTGATCACATGATATTGCTAAATCATATTTGGGACAATAACTGATTAATGAAACAGGTGCTGCATGACCGATTTTCGAAATAATTCCAATTGGTTCCTTGATATTTAATGTTCGTCCATCGTATAAATATATTGTTGATGATTGACTATCAGAAACAGCTAATGTTGATAAAGCTTGACGTGATGAGTGAACAAATGAACACATTAATGGTACAAATTCTAATTTCACCATTGTAATCATATCAAATGATAAAACATCAAACATTTTCAATGTTCGATCGCTACATGTTGAACATAATAATGTTCCTGATGAATTAACACATAATGTTAATATTGGACCTAAATGTGCACGAAAATGTTTAACGAATTCAATTGGACCAGGACCCATATTTTCATGTGGATCTTTTTCATCGTTTGGTCTTGTTGATTGATATGTTGCTGCAGTTTGTTGTTGTTTAAGATAATCTGGAGTAATAATTTTCCAAAATTTGATGTGACCATCTTGAGAACCAGTTATTAGAAAATCTGTTTGAGTAACAATAACATGTGTAACGACATCACGATGCATGTACGATCTTTCATAATAATCACTTGATGGTAATAATGAGGCATAAAGATTATCGAACTGAACTGAACCTTGAGATTTTTCTTTTCGATGTATTTCAGCATTTGAATATGAAGAAATTTCATTGATTAATTCTTTTTCACCGTGTTCTTCATCCTTATTATGACGAACACGTTTGGATGCCAATGGTGATGGAGAACGACCACGATCGGATTGAGCTGTTCGACGATGACGATCACGATCACCTACTTCACTGTCAACATCAACATTATCATGATGAGATCTTCTCGACATTTGACTTTCTTGATTTTCGAGTGGAAATGGAAAAGGAGATTGTAGAATTTTGCGAAATCAAAGACGTTTTATTTCATCCAATCCAATTCGATTCACACAAATGTGTCTGTCTGTGGAAATAAAACAAAAGAGGGCGCTACATTCTCAGTATTGTTCATCATCGCGTGTTTATGACCTATTTCCTACTCGATTGAAAATATGATATTTCCCAAGTGGTCAAAGATTATTATGACCTCAGATAGATTAAAACAGCTCTTCATAGTTCGAGTATAGTCAAAGATATAATCTGTTCAGATGAATTATACAGTTTCTAATTGAGTGAATATCAAATCAATGGTATCAGGATTTTTTCTATTCTTTAGACATTAAAATATAAGAATTACATTTTTACAACAATATATCCAAACTGCACGTTCTATCGATGGAAAATCGTTCTCAAAGAGGCGTGTGATTGATGAAAATTCAACAAAATTTGAGCGTTATTTGTATGTCATAACAACCAGTGAATCGATGTTTTTCTTTTACAGAGGCAAACGCTCTTATACAATTCTATCAACAAATATTTCTCTATAAAGAAAAATATTTTCTTGAAAAAACACTTCGATCTTATTCGAAATGTCTCAATCAACTTGTTTTCAACAGTCGATTCATTTTATTAGGAGAAAAACACGTCGATGTACTTCGATTAAACAAATCAGTCGAATTTTTCACAGTAAATAAGATTCGAACAAATCGTTTTTAAAGATAATATTATCCTTTTGATTTTAACTACGAATAATATCCTTCAAATATAAAAAAAAAGAGGAAAGAACGAAGATTTTTCTTCTTTTTCTTTTATATGTAAGAGAATACTTTTGTTCGTTTTGCTAAATGATATCTCGTACTACTTCAACTGATGTGCAATAGATTTTTGTTCTATAAAACAAACTCTGTAACAAGTCGGTTGTTATTGACAGCGATGTTTTTGTTATTTGAAAGTGTTGATGGAGGAGCATGTTGTTGTGTTCTCGTTCTTTAAACTGATGCCGAAGAAATTTGACTGAGAAGAAAAAAAGAAAGAACGAGTACAAATAGTTCCTTTTTTCTTCTTCTTCTTTCTCTCAGATTCTTTTTTATGTCATCTATTCACATTCATTCACAATTTCTATCAGGTAAGAACATTCACAAACGATTTCAATGTGTGAGAAAATCATTGATTTGGAAAAAAGGAAACAATGAGATGTTGAAAGAAGTTTTATGAAACAAAAACTCATTTTTGACCTGCGAACTTTTCGTAATGTCCCGAAGAGAAAAAAAATGAGAATTATTGCTTCTTTTTCAATTAGAATTATTTGTTTAGAAAAGGAGAAAAAAGTCGAAAGAAAAAAAAACTTGATTTTGGTTCAGTTTAAGAGTTTCTTTGATTATTTCGTTGTCAATAACAAGAAAAATAAGATTTCTTTCTCCCTCGAGTTAAATTAAACAAAAAACGAAAGATTTTCTTTTGATTTCAATGAATATTCTCTTAGATTGATGGCTGAAGAACATCAATCGACCATATCAACTGATCCTCCTTCTCTTCCAGTTGAAACAAAGCCAAAGAAAAGTGAACCAGTCAAAGAAACTTCATCGTATGTTGATTCTGCACCCAAATGTTACATTGGCCAAGGAAATAATCCTGAATTGTAAAGAGAATCTTTGGAAAAGAAATCTTTGAATTCAATTGAATATTTTTCTCCATAGACTTGAAAATATTTTAACATCAATTGGATATGAACGTCAAATAGAGCGAACAGATGATTTTAAAATCAAATGGGTTCAATGTAGTTCAAGTATTAATTGGAATTCATTCAAAGATGGTGAACAATTAGTCAATCATATTCAAGGTGAAGATTATTTTACAACCAAATTACAATTATGGCAATCTTTACAAACTTATGAAAAAGTCACTTTAGCTTTAAATCGAAGACCACCTTCGTTCTTATCTTTAAATGAATTTGTTCCTGATACGTATAAATTAGATGAAAAAACTGATCGAGATACTCTTTTTAGTATTCATAAGCGTACGTTCTTCTCTTCATTTCAAATATTTTTAATGAAATATTCTTCTTCGTTTTTCTTTTTTTAGCTGGTGATGTTTGGATTTGTAAGCCAAGTGGACTTAATCAGGGTAAAGGAATTTATCTTGTTCGAGATATGGAAAGTTTTAAAGCGAGATTCGCTGAACTTGATGCCATGGATAAGAAAAAACAAATGTCAGTTAAACCAATGAAAAGAATTGTTCAACGGTTTGTCTTTTCTTTTTATCAAAATCAAAGTTGAAAATCTTTTTCTTTTTAGTTATATTATGAATCCATTATTGATTTATGGAAAGAAATTCGATATTCGTTGTTATATGCTCATATCAAGTGTAAAACCATTGATTGTTCTTTATCATAAAGGTTATATTAGACTTTCAATGTTTGATTTCGATGCGAATGATGGAAATCTTCTCACTCATTTAACTAATCAAGTTCGTTTTCATTAAAGATTTTTCATTTGATCTCACGAATGGAATTTTTAGTATATGCAAAAGAAAGATCCGAAATATTATGAACATAAAGAAGAAACAGCTTGGACAATGGATCAATTCAAGTAAAGTTAATGAAATATTTCTCCGAAATCTTATTCAAAGTTGTTGATTTATAGTGAATATATCAATGAACACATTGCACCAAATAAAAATGTCGAAAAAGATTGGGTTTTAAATGTTTTACCAGTAAGTTCAATTGTTCGTTGTTTCTTTGTATTGAAATGATATCTTAGAAAATCATTCAACGTGTCATGTTGAATATTATTGAAAGTATTCGAATGAGATTAAAAAGACGTGTTGGATGTTTTGGTTTATATGGTTATGATTTTATGATTGATGAAAATATGAAAGTTTGGTTAATTGAAGTTAATGTTAATCCAGCTTTACAAACAAATACAAATACACTTCTTCAAGC